GGGGTTCCAAGTGAACCGCACCGTTAACAAAACGTGACGTGTAAACTCTGCTGATCACGGATTGGCCGGAGAGAATCGTCACTACCTGCGTCACTGAACTTGCGACACAAACACAACAGACCCGCTAGATTTAAATCAGCACAGCCAGCGAAGGATCGAACACAACCGTTTTGAACGAGCGCACCTTTTTTAACAATCAAAAAGTGGTTGTTTTGTGGTCTGTTGAGGAAGTACAGACGTTCCTCTCGTTGATAGCAGAGGAGCAGATCCAGTGAGAGCTTGATGGGGCGACGCGGAATGAAAAAGTTTGTCAGGCAGTAGAGGCGGCGCAACTAACGACATGTGAATAATCCTGCCCACTCGCAAACGCAAACCGAGCCGAGTCATACCACGCAGTGGAAAAGCACCATTACTGTACATTAACATGCTATGTTTGGAACTCCACACAGATTTCAATGTACCTGCTAACATCAGAGCAGCCAGATGCTCTTAAATGCGGAGAGGCTGTAGAATCAGATCTTAGCGGTAAACTGTCAGCGTAACAAAGTGACTCCAGCACAGTGTACATAGCTCATCATTCAGACAGCTGATGTAGCACATCGCAGCATGAGTGCCGCCGTCCTGATGTGAATTACCTCTGTCCCGACCGAGGGCTGAGCACCTGTGTAGACAGACTCTGGTGGAGGGCCGCCGTACTTGCGCTGACCTGTAGTGACATCAAGGGTGTAGCCTGTTCTCTCAAGCAAAGTCTGAAAAACACCACCAAACCAATCAACACAGGTGCTCGTTTCACTGACGTGAAATGTTTAAGGCCCTATCAGTTTTATTTCTTCTAAAATTCCGTTTTTATTTTTCTGGACTCCTTTTTGAGGTTGAATTAAATATTATTTGAAAAGCATGTCTAATTAAAATCCCGAAACTTATACAATTTATCATAAACAAATAATTCAAAGTTTAACAAAATTACACGTTTAGGGCCCTATGAAATATTTGTATTTTTTATTGCTACCAAATTCTGTTTTAGCGCGTCCAATTATTCCAATGCATAAACACAAGTTTCATTTATTCTTACAACAGCCTAATGAATTTTTTTCCCCTCAGAAACTCTGTGTATTTACATTTTTCTGGTTATCAAATGAAGGCACAAAACAGTAAATTTAATTTATCTTTTAATTAACGTAAATTAAATGTTTTATAGTAAATCCCCTTCATTTGCCAAAAATATGTATGATTATTCCTTAAATAAGTTTAGTAATTTCAGTAGTAGTACTATGTATATTCTACTGAACAATAGTAATGTATTTATGCCACAATGTCTTCAAGTTAAATTAAAGTTAAGTTTCTGATTAATTCATCAAAACTTTGACAAATTCCGTTACATTCCGCTTTTAACTGCAAATTCCGTTATTATAACCGTTTTCATGTTAAAAAAGCCCAAACGCACCTTAATTTTTGCTTCATCTGGTCCTTTTGTGGCATCTAGAACTTTGGTCCCCTGTTTCTCTCTCTGCCTGTAGGTCTTCATCACTCCACAGAGAAAGGCACTTTTGTTCTGAGCGAAAGAAAGAGAGTGAGATAGTAAAACCTTCCCAAGTTTCACTACACAGAGTACAGACTCAGAGCAGAGCGAGAGCACTTACTTGCACATGGGATAGGTCGCTCTCTTTGAACTGGACAAGAACTTGCAGTGCACCTTCCTCATCGAACTCTTTCAGTGCTTCAAGGGCCCTCTCATCCAGTTCACTGTGCTCCACAAGGCCTGCAGGGAGAAAACCAGGCAAACCTCAGCGTAGCCGAGAGATGTGACGATCTGCAGGACGCTTTACCACCCGTCCAGTCAGGCTCGTGGACCGTACATCAGCGTAACTCAGAGAGAGAGTTCCCGTGAATCATCATTCGGACAGGGCATCAGCTAGTGACGTCACCAGTCACTTGTGATTACAGTAACAAGTATTTTGTCGTCTGATCATCCAAATATTCCCAGGTTTTCCACAACTACGGAAACCCCACAAAATCACCTGAATAGGCATCAGTGAAGAGCAGCACCTCGTTCATACAGTAATAATGATTATCCCAGGACCTAGGCCGGTCACGATAACAACTTTTTGCTGTGCGATACATTGCCCCTGAAATAATTGCGATAATCGATATTAGTCATTTTAAGACCATTTTATGCCACTGAATATATACTCATAATGTAACAGCATAATAATGCAAGAAGGCCTACACACTTCCAAATGACAACAAACTTTGAATTTGTAAGAATATTTAGATCATGGAAATTAAGTATCAGAATACTAGATGCCTTAAGGGATAGTCCACCTTCAGTTGCTGGTCCCCCTTGACTTGCATAGTGTTTTTCCCCTACTATGGAAGTCAATGGGGACCAGCAATTGAAGGGGAACTATCCCTTTACAAAAACTTGAATAAATAGTAAAAAAATGTGCAAAAGTAGAAAAAAGAAAAGTGCACAAAGAACTTGTCTGGAGATGTTCCCCTGACCGTCTTTTCTCTGTAAACTAAGAGTGCACACTATTGCTGAGAAACACAAGCGCTACTCGGCACTCAGACGTCCGTCAGATCCCTAAACAAGGCCATATCTGCAGCCGAAACTTGAACGAGCAGCTCATGACTACACCACGTTATGCACGAGAAGCTGCAAGAGACACGGGGGCAAGTGGAATACAAAAAACACGGTGGCATTAATTTATGTAAAAATAATGGGTATACACTGTGTCATCAAGTTATTGAGGTCATGTACATATATTGTGCGGCAAGTCGATATATTGATGATTGCGCCAGGCCTACTCTCTCACCCCCATGTAATCAGCATCTGTTAGAGATCAGCTGCAGGGGACATCACACAGCAGCTGCCTCTATTGTCCCGGCGTATGCCCAGCACCCCCAACAGCGGAGCTAACCCCCAGAAGGGCTGCTGTCAGGACCGGACCGGACACGCTCAGCTCAGCCCGGCGCACCGTTACAAGTCAGCTTCATTCAGCGCTGCAGCACCCATTTTGCAGGGAGACCACACAAAGTTGCTAATTACCTGCCAATTCCCTACGCAAGAAAACACAGGACACGTACAGTTCAACATGCATTGAATGCGCTCAGCTCAGCCCGGCGCACCGTTACAAGTCAGCTTCATTCAGCGCTGCAGCACCCATTTTGCAGGGAGACCACACAAAGTTGCTAATTACCTGCCAATTCCCTACGCAAGAAAACACAGGACACGTACAGTTCAACATGCATTGAATGTGATGAATGTCAATTTGGAGGGGTCAAGTTTGGGCTTACCTGCTAGGTAAATTTCATCTAGCTTTTCAGCAACTTTTTGTGGTAAACCAGCTTCTAATAAAGTGTTGAAGTGGTCAGAATGGGTGACTGCAGCAGACGTGTCCATTGGTTCTTCAGTACCATTCCCATTAATATGTTCTGTGGCCATGTCTCCAGAAATCTGTTCAAATGCAATGAGCCAAATTACTGCAGGTTTTGGTAGACAGTTGCAGAAATTAAGTGGGTATTCAGTTGTATGTATAGGGTTCCTCCATATTGAAATCTAAAGATCATCCGGTCTTTTCACCCGCATGCAATGATACAAACACGCATGAAGCCTCCTAGCCCACAGCCCCGCCTCAGCTACAGCCTCTCACAGCCACAGCCCGCCCGCACAAACACCCGTTCACACAGCGCTCCTCGTGATACCTCCGCAGAACAGCGAGCCGGCGCGCGGTGAGCTCCAGGCGGCACACTGGCCTGATGCTAAGCCGCAGCTGCACACACGCGGGTCTCCGGCCCTCCACAGACACACACCGAGCGAATTACTCTTCACAGAGCTACGAGACGACAACGCATTGCGCAAAACGTGCTATAAACGCATCGAAGCTGAAGAAAATCAGGGAAGCTGCGAGATAAAAACGGTTTAGCGCGTTACGTGGGATTCAGGCGCGTGGCTCTACATTAGCATTAGCCTGCTAACTCACGCCCTCACATACAGCATCAGTTCATTTAGTGTGCAGCCACGCGCTGTAATTACTGACGAGACCCAGAGATGTGCGTTTTTACGCGTTTAACGGTTCTGAAGGCCTGCTCTCGCATGGCTTGCGTGTCCGGTAACCCCCTCCCCCCGCGGGATCCGCATTGTTTCCAAACACCGGTCAAAGAAAGGCCTCCGCGGCACGAAACGCCACGGAACCGGGTCCGGAGCGGCGACACGCTTACCTGGCGCTGTTCCGCGGGTCTGATCGGGTCTGTCGGTGTGGATATGTGTTCTGGGGGCGGTAAGCGACTCCCCGGCGGAGCTCCGCTTGATTCCCGATAGTGTAAAATGGCGGGCGGCGCTGCTCACGCGCGGTTCTGCCGCGACGGGGTTTCTGACGCAGCCGATCAGGGGCGGGGAGCGCGAGCGCTGGCCAGCGGTGGACCCGTGTTGCCAAGTCTGCGGGTTTCCCTCTGAAGTGGGCTACTTTATCTCTGTAGCCTTGGCTTGTTTGTTCATGTCCGCGGGCTGAAGCCTGATATTTAGTCCCTAAAATGCGATTTTTACGAGATGGTCCTCACAGCAGAACACAAGATCCAGATCTAACTCCACCCATCTGCCCTGGATCTTGTGTTCTGCTGTGAGGGGATACTGACTTTTGTATTTTACCCCCGGAATTGGCTAGTTTTGGGCTAATTTTGAGTAGCAGTTAGTTTTATTGTGAAAACCTGGCAACCCTAGAATGGCTTTTTCACATTTTTCAGTAGCATTCTTTAAAGGGGTCATATGATGCGATTTCGATTGTTTCTTTCTCTTTGAAGTGTTACAAGCTCTTGGTGCATAAAGAAGATCTGTAAAGTTGCAAAGACTAAAGTCTCAAAACCAAAGAGATATTCTTTATAAAAGTTAAGAGGCAGCCACGTCTACCTAAAACGCCTCGTTCTAACACGCCCCCACATACCTACATCACTGTGTGGGAAGATTTGCATAACGTCGCCCAAATGTTCACGCAAAGAAAGAAGGTGTAACTTTTATTCTCGCTGTAGTATTGTTGCTGCCGCCGCCATGTCGTGAAGACGCTGTGTTTCGTTGTGAAAGCGAAACTACTTTGTTTGGTCTTCCAATAGAGGACGATATCTGCTTCGTCATGCCTGGAGCTGATCCGTGCTGGTTGCTGAGGAAATACATCAACTTCACTCTGTGGATCACCGGATCGGCTTTCACCGTGAACAAAGCGGAGTCCAGCCCGGGGTCGTCACATGTGGTTGCCGCTCCTTCGTCGAATCCGCCGGCCGCGCCGTTCTCAAGCCCGCCCCCCTCCGCATACTCTAGCCGCCCCCCTCCGTTCACACTAAGCATAAATGGCTGCCCACTGCCCCGGGTGTGTGTTCACGGTGTGTGTGTGTGCACTTCGGATGGGATAAATGCAGAGCACTAATTCTGGCCACATGTCACATCACTTTTGACTCTTAACTTTTATAAAGAATATCTCTTTGGATTTGAGACTTTAGTCTTTGCAACTTTACAGATCTTCTTTATGCACCAAGAGCTTGTAACACTCCAAAGAGAAAGGAACCATTGAAATAGCATCATATGACCCCTTTAACATATAGAGTCGTAGCTCTACAGGACTCACGAGTTTCAATCCCAACTCGTGATGGTAAAAAATGTCTTATAGTTGATTTCATTATTATAATTGCCGTTATTATATTAATGAAATCATTGGAATGCAAAATACCAAATTTTTTAAATCGATGTTAAACTATATTTGGAAGTGAAGTGAAGTATGGCCAAGAATGGTGACCCATACTCAGAATTTGTGCTCTGCATTTCATCCATCCAAGTGAACACACAGTAGTGCACACACACAGTAGTGAACACACAGAGTCGTGCACACACACACACAGTAGTGCACACACACAGTAGTGAACACACAGTAGTGCACACACAGAGTCGTGCACACACACACACAGTAGTGCACACACACAGTAGTGAACACACAGAGTCGTGCACACACACACACAGTAGTGCACACACACAGTAGTGCACACACACAGTAGTGAACACACAGAGGCGTGCACACACACACACAGTAGTGCACACACACAGTAGTGAACACACAGTAGTGCACACACACTAGTGAACACACAGAGTCATGCACACACACACACACACACAGTAGTGCACACACACAGTAGTGAACAC